AGCATTTTAGCTTTTCAGTGGTAGGCAATCAGAATGCTCAGTTTTGGCGGCCGAATTCATAGTGTTAAGTTTCCAACTGAAATCTCACTAAGAAAGCTAAAAATAAATGTGCCGTGAGGGCTGCCAGAGTGTGCACCAGCAAATGTCAACACAGGATCACAAAACGCGTGCCAAGCATGTGCACCACAATCTCAGCAAAACCCCACTCTCCAACGTATACCATCTTCGCTTCTCCAGACCGCTTTTACTTTGTGAGTTTTCCAGACAGGCCTGGGCTGGACATTGTGTTTTTCTACATCTTACTGATTTTCACTGGTTTATGACAGTTAACTAATTCTGTACTAAGCACCCACTGAGGGTACATTTACAGCAGGCACTACCAGACACCACAGTGGTTTAGCACAAGACAGAAGGTGGAACAAGGAGACCACTTTGACCTGAGGCACCAACTGCACCACATGGGCGCCCACATACCTCTGGTGGGGTGGGGGTTCATGGTGGAGACTCTTAACTTCAAAAAGATCCAAAAGGTAAACTAATCATAGGTAATTTCATAATTATAGGGAAAATTAATTCAAACAGGAAGACCCCTGCTTGTGAACAGATCAACAGAGTCCAGGCTCCCTTACAATACCTTGGCACGGTTCACACCCTTCCTCATCGGGAAGCGATCTTGTACAAGTACAGCTGCAGGGTCCCACTTCACTAGACTCATGAAGAGCCTGACCAGAGGCCTGCTCTGCCAAGTCACTTCCCAAACAAGGCAGCATACATTCCAGAGTCCTGAATCCTGCAGATCTGTCTAGAAGCAGAGGCATTCCACAGCCAAACCAAGGTGAAGGCTAGCAGGCAGCAGTTTTACACGTATAAAAGCTAAAAGTAAAGTCACCAAACTGTGTAATCTCCTCTGAAAACCTTGCATGTCTGTAGACCTCTTTATTGCCCAGAATCCAAAATGTGGCTTAACCAGAAACCAGTTTGAGTTCTGCACGCTATAGTTACAGGGTTTTAAACACGAGACCACAGGGAGGAGGCGTGCTTTTAGCTGCTATGGGCCTCAGGCATGTGAAGTTCAGGATTTGGGAGCGTGGCAGGCAGCATTTTCCATCAGGAGAGCCGCAGGAGGAAGCTCTAGGTGCCTTCCCCACTGGTCTCCACCTGGAACAGGACTTTCGCAGCAGGTTCTCTCTCATCGCTAACTTCCACTGTTCCCATCCCTTACATCTTACATTTCATTTGACAACCAAGGCTGTTGTCATCTTTTCACACATATGGGTACAAAGAGACAGCAATCACGAGGGCAGGGAGGAAATAAACTGCCATCTCTACAACTTGCAGCGCCCTTCTCTAGCCTGGAGAACTCAGAATGGCCATGAGGGCTGTTCCAGAATGTGACTGAGCAGTGTATAGAACAGGAGCCTGAAAGGCCAACCTCCAAATGCCAGGACACATCAAACCAGCATAATTTCTGGGCCAACTCCTTTACCTGACCCAATTACCATATGCTCCAATGTCTGGCACTGCAGAGGCAGATGCTTTGGTAGAACCTCCTAGCTATTAACAATCATCCATCTGTAGAAATAAAAGCTTAACTGTTCAACAGTGTCTGACTTAAATGAAGAAAGATATTAGGCCTTTCATTGGATTAGAATGACACCATAATCTTCAATTTGTGAAGCTGACACTCCCAGGTTCAGAAGCGGGAAACTGGAAAGCTTGGAGGAACACACATGTAAAATACTATTGCAACCCTTATGAGAGGTGGCTGTGCCAGTGCCACAAGACAAACACACCCTCCAGATAGAAACCAAAACCTACACATACATATGCATGTGTGTGCATGCACACCGTGCCACGGAGAAATAAGATGTTCATCAGCAGTTCTGCCTGGAAGCTAACTTCCTAATCAGGTTATAAATTGCTCTATTAGCATGCACAAAGTCACTTCATGTTGAACTCTAAGCAACAAAGATCTTTTAATTTCCTTCTTCAGAAGGAAAATGAGCATACAACTCAGACTTATGTCTCTAGGGCTACAGTGTATTCCTGGTTTTGTTTGTTTTTAAGTAAAAATATGTATCGTACCATAAGGGAAAAAAATAAAGCCTGTGCCTATGACAAGCCTGGGAAATGAGAACATCTCTTGAGCAGCAACACCACCTGGCTGTGGAAGGAAGGCTGACCTACACCAAGCACTAATCATTAAACACTGTAAGGACAAGGGGCTCAGACTGGTGACCAAAGGCAAATCAATCCTAGCTATAGTGTGCAGGGCTGTTTGGTACTAGAGAAGATCTCTGTGGTGTAAAACAGTGCAACACCCCCCCCCCACACACACACACACGGATCGAGACCTTGACGTTCTGACACCACTCCCTGTGCCCAGCACTCACTCACATCATTTCATCCTCTCAATGACTGCTGAAGTTGGTGCTAACAGCTGCACTTTAGAGGTACGGAAACTGAGGGTCAAAGTTTACACGATCTAAATCCTAATATATATGTCTTCACAGTATTGGAATGCGTCTCCTTTTGTGCTCCTATCACTGGAGGTGTGCAGAACTGTCTAGCACAGAGTTTAAATGTTACCATGCAACACGACAAATGTAGCAGACAAGGATCTGCCCCATCACTCTTTATACCTGTGAGCAGCACTGGGCTCAGGTCTGTGGACCCGCAGATCTGGGTTTCTCTGGCTACATTTCTCAATTATAAACAGAGCACCTGTACCTGACTTAGCCCACTGTAAAGTTTGGAAGGTTAAATGCGACCTTTTTATAGTACCTGGGACGACAAAGAACCTTCTCGCTTCAATTGAATATAGCCAGTAAGTACAATTCGAAGTATCCCCATATCAAATGAGGGAGTGTCACAGCAATCACTAGGGTGTAACTCAGGAACAGAGCACTTGCCTAACACGTGTCAAGTCCTGGGTCTGATCCCAAGCAACTAAAACACACATGTAGGCAAACAAATAGAACCCGAGGTTTTCACTTAGCCTGCTGCTGAAGCAGCAGGTGGATGATACAAGGAGGGCTCACGGAGAGGCTACGTCTCAACCTGCACAGTACAGCAGAGCGTGTGCGAGCGTGTGCCATACCCTCAGCACTCACTGGCAGTGCCAGTTGTTTTGTCACGCCCACACACATTTCTTCTGTTCCCACCCTGCCACCAGCACCACCAGGCAGAGTAAGGACACATGCCCACTGACCAAACCCATAGGTGCTCGCTCATTCCCATGTGTGCTCAGCTATTGTCACGAATGTAACCTTTATGTCCTTGCACATCCGTATATGGTGGTTTGGCTTGTTTTTCTTCATTACCCCAACATTCCAAAGCCATGGCAGCTCAGTCAGAAGACTTGCTTGCTTCTTATGAATACCTCCACCTACCACCGCGTGGATGAAGTGAGCAAGTGATCACTAAGCAGATGGGTCGGAGGAGCCTTCTGATGGGCAACATGAAGTCACTGTTGGACTTGCTTCTCAAGGCACAGCCCATTACGGCTCATGCCTGTCATCTTAAGTGTCATGAGGCCGAGGAGGGGAATCACTAAGTGTTCAAGGGCTGCTTAGGCTGTATGGTGACCCCCAGCTAGCATGGGCCCCATCATGAAACCCTGTCTCCAAACAAACTTAAGCTACTTCAGAATTTTAAGGAATAATCACCTAGAGATAAAGGTCTTTGGGTAAGCATACATCAAAGTAACAAAGCAAGAACAAGCAAAGTTATTTACACACATTCTAATTTCCTAAGACGCAGAAAAGCCAAGCAAAAGTAAAAAACATTAAGTAATTCTACAGTTGGTTGGAAAACCTCCTAGAAGTACCCATGGGAAAGCCCTGCACCCATGTGACACCCACCATGTGACAGGTGTGTAAAACCTATACTCCAGACTCTGGTAATTGGGTGAAAGAACTCAGTATTTTGTCATAAGCCTTCTGCTTTTTCATCCCCTGTGAAAGAGTCGGCACCACCTCAGCAGGGATCGAGGGATATATCCTGGAGAGCCACCCCAGCTTGGCCTAGGGGTGTCTAGAGGATGTAGCTACAAACCTGGAAAAGGGTGGGGACACTGAGCAAACCCTTAGCGTGGACTCAGATGATGCTTGTGTGACATTTACCACTTCCTGAGTATTAAGTCTCTAGTCATGGTTATTAGGTTGGAAGAGTTTTGAACTCTACCCTGTAAACAAATGTGAAAATAAGACAAATTATAATTCTGTCTTTCCTTTCTAAGATAGGGTCTCACTGTGTAGCCCTGGCTGTCCTGGAACTCTACATACACCAGGCTGGCCTTGAACTCATAAGAAATCTACTGCCTCTGTCTGAGTCCTGGGATTAAAGCCGTGAATGACCACACCCTGCAATGGCTCATTTCACATTAAACAAAGTCAGATCCCTCCTTCCTTTTAGTTGATGTGCAACAGTTTACAATACAGTCATAACAGAAGTTATAATAGGGCCATTCAGGGATGCTGTGGGTAAAAATATCTGCTCAGGTCAGGTTTGGGTGTTTATGTGCCTCCTAGTCTGTCAAATTAGAATAACCTGCCACCAACACTTAAGCCTTGTTTAAGGGATTCCATTTGGTGGAGTGCACTATACAACAAGACTATGTTGGAATTGCTTTTCCTACTTCATGAATGGAGTGAAGGTGTGCTCTACCTGAATGCAAACACTTGCCACGAAAACTGCTTTGGTGTTCAGCTCTCCAGAAACCTACCTACCAAAAAGGTGAGGGAAACACCTGTGTGACGGGAACTCGTTTAGAGTAGATGCCAACTAGACCCCACTACAAACCTTCATTTAACATGGATTTCTTTACTGTCTGGAGTCAGAAGATGTCACAGTCCCCAAAGAGCAAACCATCTGCCCCTCTTCAAGGTTCCTCAGCATGGCATGACTCTGTTAATGTAGCGCACACTTACAGGCCAACTGCAAATGGTCCTAAGTCCTTAAGCAAAGAAAACCCTCTGCGCAGTTTTTATTTTTCATTTAAACACTACCACCTCTTTTAAGAATTGGGACCTGTCAATTATTATGTTGTCAGGACTCCACTTGTCAGCAAGGTCAGCAGCCAATACCTTCCAGTTAGGTCCCAGGGGGCCTCTCTTGGTCTTGACTGAATGGAATAATGCAGGGTCCTCATCAGCTTTGTAGTCCTGTAAAGCAAAACAGAGTCAAAGATGAAGAAGAAAACCAGAAACCACTTTTTAATCTTGCCAGGCGGCTTTCTGCAGCTAGAGCTCCCTGTGCCTTTACACACGGGGAAACGGTCCACACACAGCACCCGCAGTTTGTATCCCATTACTTCCTAAACTTTTGTCTCAACTATGGAATTAGGAGTGTTGAGTGATAGCAGCCCACCAAGATCAGTTGCTGGGCTGTGAAGCATTAGAGTTTGAGAGCTGACAGTCAGCAGACATGCTGAAGAACTAACACCTGACTTTCGACAACACCTGCACACGGTGGCGCTGGGCTGCTTCTGTCACTGTGAGCCACTACTGCACTACAAAGACCACAGGCCCTGTTCCTGCACGTCCCTCCTCCCTTCCCGGCTAAATCTGTGTTCTTCATGGTCATAAAAGGTAGGAACGGGTGACTGAAACTCTTCAGTAACAGCAAACCAGCAATGACCACAAAATCTACGACTCACGCATGTAAGCTCTGTTTCGTTCAGTGCATCCTGCCTGGCAGATTGTACAAAATGAGTTAAATCATTTCACTCAACTGAAGTTTCTGTCCCTCTCCCCTGCTCTCTCCACAGGAGCCAAGTTATTTTTGGAGTGTGCACAAACGGCGGGAATTTCACTAATGGTTACAACACAGACCCAGGGTGCGCCACAGCACTTGCAAAGGGCACAAACACTGTGCAGAAAGTGCCCAAACCAGGCTGAGAGGAAACCTGGCTGCAAACTGCAGTTCTTTGGTAAGAGTCATTCAAGCAAAGCATGCACGGAGCATGCTCCAAAGCGAAGAAAATATACTGGCAAGTGGTCACTTAGAAGAGACCAGTTGGTAAATGCATATGGCATGCTATTAATTCCTAGGGAGGGTTATAAATAAACCATGAGAAAGATCAGGGAAAAAAACTAAGCTTTTTAGAAGCATGCTTGGGTAAACATGTGACCCTGTACTGGAGGTCATCTCAACACTGTCTCAGAAGCTAGAGAAAGGGCTGAAATTGTTAAACACATGAAGCTGGCTGGCTTCACTGGGTCTCAATAATTTGAAATAGTTAATGTAGTATGGCCAGGACATAAGGCCAGTCAACATTATGCAGAAAGGACACACAGGGAGGAGCAGACAAGCAGAACAGAGTCACTTTACCTGTGTGTACAACAGCACTGATTTCACTCTCCCAACTGGGAGGAGTTCATAGACCCACACCTGCATCATTAAAACTGGCATGCTTTCTCGACTCAGAAAAGAAGCGACTAAATAGGGGATCCTAAAACTTGCACTCAGAAGAAGTAAGCTACCTGAACAAATGCATACCTATAAGCCTCTAAATCGTTCTCTTCTAGAGCAAAGGCTCGAAATTAAAGCCCACTTTTCCCCCAAATTAAAAAGCATCATTACATCAATCACTTCTAGTACCATTTCCTTCCATCAAAGACCCTACGGAATAGCTAACACAGGACAGTAAGGGCCAGAACACAGGGTTGGTTCCTAACATCAGTCTAGTTCAAAGTGGCATACAAGACAAGACAAAATAGGTACCCAAAACCCAAGAAGTATCTATTACCTACCAAAGGAGAAGAGAGAACATTCAGTCAGAATCAAAACCAAACAAAACCAGTTAAGAACACACCCCATTCCAAGAGACAAGTGGCCTTCATATTCAAAAGTAAAAAGAAGCCGGGTGGTGGTGCAGCACACCTTTAATCCCGGCACTCGGGAGGCAGAGGCAGGCGGATCTCTGTGAGTTCTAAGCCAGCCTGGTCTACAGAGTGAGTTCCAGGACAGGTTCCAAAGCTACAGACAAACCCTGTCTCACAAAACATAAAAAAAAAAAATGTTTAAAACATTTCAGCAACTAAATTCTAACAGCCAGTCTAATGCCCAGAAGGCTGGCCATGATTCACCAGCCTATGAGAGCAAACCCATGCCCTTTTTCTCTTATTGACTGGGGTGTGAGGTGGCCATGGCCACACCAGTCCTGTTTTCCCCTTTTATTTTTACCAAACCTGAGCTGTAAGTGAATTGAATAGTAAACACATTTCTGTGCATGAGTAGCTGACAGTTATAGGTTGCACTACTGTTTTATGTGACATTAATAATAAAAATGCAGAAGGCTAATAAATGCCACAGCACAAGACAAGCCTTGGTTTTGGATGTATTCAACTGCGAAAGGGAAGAGGGAAACAGGAGTTTAGAATTGAGTATGGAAAACTGTGGAGTGCTGTGAAATTTAAACCTGCCCCATACACATGGGAAGAGTAAGTAAACACAAAATAAACTGTACACAATTGCCTCTATGGTGAAAGGAATAAAACCAATGGCATTAAAGAAAGGCAGTCCCTGCACTAGGGCCAAGCAAATTCTGACCGGCATCAATCATTTCCAAGTCGGCCCCAACAGACCAGCAAAGGTGTCAACTAGAGGGTCAAAATAGAGAGAGACCTCATTGTTTCTTTACTCCAGTTCCATGGCAGGCAGATACGTCACACATCTACAGAAACCCTCTGTAGTAGATGCAGAAACTAAAGAAACCGAAAACCTTGTGAAAGTGTCACTCCAGACCTGACAATATTTCAGAGGGCACACCACAACAACAAGCCTTCATCATCAAGGCAAGGTAGCCATGGCTGCTTTTCTAAAACGCATCATGAAGCTCACCATCCAGTAAGGAACTGATAAAAGTTCCCTATACCTGGACTTCAACCAGAGTTTTATGTGTATGGGTGTTTTGCCTGGATGTGTATCTGTGTACCCCACACGCAAATACTGCCTTCAGAAGAATCTAGAAGGTGGCACCGGATCCACTGAAACTGGAATTACAGAAGGTTGTGAATCACACTATGTGGGTAATGAGAAGTGAACCTGGTCTTCTGGAAGAGCAGCCATCTCTCCAGCCCCTCCTGAACTCTTTGATCTGTTCCCTGGCTCATATGACTAGACCGCACAGCCCAGCCACAGGTGTAAACAGGTGTAAGTAATCCCAGGAAGCAGACAGTTAAAAACCAAGAAGCAGTTCCAGCACCAGGAGTATCCAAGTGGGTTTTCTCTCTGTTTTTCTCTCTAAGAATGCAAAGCAGCAAACACTAAAGATATTATTCTAAAAATATAATATAACCCAATTATTAACAATAGCACCTTAACCCTGACAGGTGAGAATAATGCACCTTGTCAAAACCTAGACATTTTGCGTGAGTTAGTTTGAATCTGTAAATGTTTAATCAGTTGAATTAAGTAGCATAATATGAAAAGGCAGAAAGTGGATGCAGTTTTCACAACCTCAATTTTGTATTTCTGCAATACACACTATTTTCTTTTTTGAATAGTATCTTCTTGCTGAATTTTACGTTGGGTATCTGATTTGGTCTCTGGATTTGAAAACGGGTTGATTTATATCCATATCACAATGAACAAATATATTCCTTCATGTATGACAGTTTCCGCATACAGAATGCAACCTCAGCTACCAATTACAGCTGCAAATGAGCAATAGTGTGGAATGAGACAGCCTGCTGGCTTTGTTAGTATTCTGTCTCCTCTGGGATCCCAGGGGGAAAGGGAGGCTCTGATGAAGAGAAGCCCCTGGCTCATGGTTTATCGTGCTGGCCACCAGCTGCAGGCTTCTCATCTCATTAGTTCTTTTAGAATACTGTGGGTGAAGACAGCTGCAGTCTGCTTGAGTCTTCAGCTCCTGGGTATTCTGAAGGCTGAATCTGCTATGCACTTTCTGTAATCCTTGGGGAAAAAAAGAGCAAATTCACTAGGCCAATGAAATACACTTTAAAAAAAAAAAAAGGTTTTAAAATCAGGTTTAAAGCGAGCAAAATCTTATTATACTAAGGTGAATTGTGCTTAGCATTTTTTGTGATCTGATTTTAATTACCTAGACAATGCCTAGAGGCCTGGTCAGGATAAGGACCTGTGAAACCATCATTATTAGCTGGGTACACCTTTCAAGACGGTACTTGCTCCTCCATCAATAGTGCTCAAATGACACAAAAGCACAATGGCATCAGCGTAAGACAACATTAAATTCGTGCTAACCAATGCTATATCACCCAAACTCTTATTTAAGTAAAAATGAAGTCGAATGGAAGCCAAGATTCCCCCCCCCCCCAACAAACTGAAGTACAATATGGTAAATAAATGGATTAGTGTTTCCACAATGGAGTCACAAGAGTGCAGTCATTAACCTCATCTAAGGAACTGCTCTGTCCTGGAACAGGAAAGCTACACTACCTCTCGGGCACACATCTGTTATTGACCACCACTCTCAACAGAAACCACATTAATTTTGAAGACAAAGAATATTAATTTTATGAATTTTTTAGCCTAGTGGCTGCCCCCCAAAATACAAGCATACAACCTTTGCTGAGCCAACCTAAGTATGTCCTTGCACCCAGATTTAACTCATGATTATGAATGGGGAAGGGAGTAGGAGGTGAGTTTCTTGACAGCTCGTGGAAAATCAAGATGAGCCCCAGACACCAGAAACCACTTAAGAGTGCGCGTGGGTTAGCAGAGGTGAGGGTAAGCAGAAACAGGAACAGCTACTCAAAAGCACCAGCCTTAGCAACCCCGATACCTGCTCATAAAGAACAGACCCAGTCTATACAACCCGCTGCCCACCGGGAGTTTCACAAAGTAAACGTTAGGATCCCGCTATCAAATGTTCTACTTTAGCATATGATGATTAATTAGGTGTCTACTCCAACAGCTCAGAGATACTCCCTGAGTTTAAAATGCAAGGGTACTACTGCTCAGTTCAGCAAAGCTTAAAGAGGATGAATGAAATGTGAAGACAAACAGCAAGCATCCACTCTACTCCCTTTTAAATATTAGGGCCCTTAGGAAAAAAAAAAAAAAAAAAAGAAAACGTCTCTAATCCCAAGGCGGACAGTATGCCTGGAGTTGACGAAATGTAAGCCGCACTCCAGGCCAGCATGTTTAAAAAAGTGTTTGCACTGAATGTTACTGTAAC